GTTTCTCTGCACAGGTTCAGTTATCTGGGTGAGAATGAATAAGGAGTTTCCATAACAATGGCACACTCAGGTAACATGCATTCATTGGAAGAGCCTTAAGGATGATTTACCAGAGATATATCTAACTTTAGGCAGTGCTGTAAGTGGAAAACTAGATTTTAACAAAATATAAAATATGGAATACTTTTTTTATATAATGAAAGGATCAGTAGTTGCCTTCTTTAAATAGCTATCATTAAAACTGTTCTAACTTTAGGCAGTGCTGTAAGTGGAAAAGTAGATTTTAACAAAATATAAAATATGGAATACTTTTTTTATATAATGAAAGGATCAGTAGTTGCCTTCTTTAAATAGCTATCATTTAAAACTGTTTTCTCCAAATTCTATTTACACACAATCTTTCCCAAACAATTTAAAGAAGAAGAAATTGGCAAAGATTTTTTTTTTTTTTTAGCCCTGTATTCAAAACATCAAGGTGGTCCAGCAAGTAAAGGATCTTATCAACTCTTGCTTTTATTAGATGGTTTTGCCAGAATATTATATTTATTCATACTTCCCAATCTTTTTCTCTATTAATTTCACTATAATTCCATTTCCTATATGCCTACAATAAAATTCATTTTCCCAGTTGAAAATTCAAGCAAACCAACAAGAAAACTTGGCAATGGAGTATGTCCCTCTCATCATACAGATTGCTTTATAAACCAGAATTATCAGAAAGGAGCAGGTCAAAGGTTAATGAGACACTCATTAAAGAGAGAGAATTATAGAAGCTGATAGTGCTCTGTGCCTGTACTGAAGGAGAGGCTATTGTTATAGGATGTTTGCTGTGCTGATATTGTAAACCACATGACAGATGGGTCAAGTGCTGATTACGGTATTCTAACATTTGGAATAGCAAGTAACATATTTGATAAGCTGGCAAGTTTTTACATATGAGTCAACCCACAATATAAAAGCCACGAGAATTCCAAATTGAAAATAATTAAATGAGCTGGAAACAATCAGATACCACACATTTTCCCCAAAATGACAGATTTTGACATGTTGAAATTCCACAAAGGGAGCAAGAATATTGCCTAGCTCACTTGAACTAATAAGGGCCCTTCATCTGCTTTTGCAAAGCAATTAATTCCAGCCTTTTCACAATGTGGAGGTAGCACTAAACATTTATAAGCACCTTAGGCTTTACAGAGATCTGTCCCATACATGCTTTCTTTGCTCTTATCAGCAACCCTGCAAGGTACAGAGAAAAGATATTCATATTCTCAATTTGCAGATGAGGAAACTAAAGCACAGAGAGGTTTAAGTAGCAGGTGCAAGATTATGTAGAAAGTAAGTAGCATATGGAGGACAAGAAGCCAGCTCTCCCAACTCGTTAATACACCAAGTTCTATTTCTGGTCATCTGAAAGGAAGAAGCAGCTATTAACATATAGGCGTCATTTATTGTACAAAAGTGTATCTTCTTTCGGTCAGTGATGCTGCTGCCTTCATTCACATATATCCATGTGGATAAATTATCAAGTATTTGCGTTTAGTTTCTGAATGTCTCAATAGGGTGTGCTGGTGATGCTGGTAAGAGTCCTTGTCAAACAATGTCACACCTCTGTAATGTTGAAGGAACATCAAGAAAGCAGCAGCTCTCCATTTGTGTTTTATCATTTTTGCTTGTTCGGTTGTTCTTTTCAGAGTTTGTCATCGTACTTGTCACCCTTTGTTAAAGTCACTTTGTCTCTTTACTTTTTTATTGTTTCTCTTCACCTACCTGAGCAGCTCCCCTGCCACCTCCTGGGCCTCCTCTACCCACCCAAACGCAGACCAGCATGTTATATCTGAGGCTCAAAGACATGCCTAGGCCAAAATCAAGTACTGTAAACTTCTATCATTCCTTTACTCAGCAGCTTTCTAGTTTAGTTTGCTTTTCTGTTCACTTTTCTTCTTGAAGTTTTGTTTCAGTTTGGAATACGAAGCTGAGGCTCAGGCTCTCAAGTTTAATGTTGTAGGTTCTGAGATAATTGAATGAGAGCATTTATTTCCAAATGTCCACATTTTTTTGTCCAGCTATGTCTGACATATGCAACATTTTCAAATCTCAATGTCAGCACAAAATAACATTGTTGTTGCATAACATTTTGCATGACAATTCTTTATATGTTATGAGCTTCAATTCTGTTGTACGAAATGTTTCCTAAGTATACTATATTTTTAGTTCCATTTCATCAGTGCTCCAGCTAGTGCAAGATTGGGGGACAGGAATATTGCAATACATTTCAAGTCAGTGGATGTAACAACAACAAAAAAAGTCATTTCTAAGCACAAATTTCTCCTTGACCTCTGTTGGGGGGAGGGAGGAAGTGCTGAAGAATTTTGCACAATATTTTCTTTAAAGACAACATCTTTTAAAAAGTCACTTTTAGTGACATTTTTGCCATTTAGCTAGTGAATCATCTATGCAAATGAACAGGAAAATAGTGCTGTGTCTCACTAAAGTGGCTTGATCTACAGATAATGGAATCACAGCTAATTAATAGTAAATGAAAGTATGGCTACATGGGTTAATTGACAGATCAAGTATTCTAGGTTAAAGGATCTTTAACCTGCTTACTTTAATGGTTGCATGTTAAAGTACAACTGCAAAAGGTTTTATTAAACATACTGTCTGTATATATACATCAGGCATACACATATCTGTATACATGTGCACACACTCATAGAATGGCTGCCTGCACATGTACACTTTATGTGTATCTATTGATATATATTGTAGTCAATCTAAGGGTACTGCATATTAAAACAAATGTTCAGGTTGTCCTAGCTTGAGCATCTTGGATCTCTCCAAACATAAAAATCATTCATACTTTTTAAATAAATGTGCATAAAAATATTGGTGGGAATTATTTCATTTCTGTGTCATATGTCATGTACAGCCAGAATTCTCCTAGATTTGGTGAATGTTCCACCCAAAAGGACAATGCTCTCTTTTAAAAAGCAAGAGATTTCAAAGATGTGCTCCAAGTGGGATTTCCTGCAGATTTGTATTAATGTGCAGCCTTGTCTGGTTACTAGAAAATGTATGTAAGTGTGTGATGTGTGTATGTGGGTGTATGTGTCGAATGGGTAATAAGCATAGGATGAGGAATTTGCAAATTGATGTGTAAATGTGAATATCAACTAATAAAAAATAGTAGCCTATGCATATTTACTATCAAAATGCAAATATCTCACTCTACACTTATTACTCAAACATATATACACAGTATGTTTGTAGAAATGCCTGAAAGTCTACTGATGAAATTATGATAGTATATTTATGAAATTAAAAACAGGTAAGGTGCCCCAAAAGCACAGAAGTTAATCTTGTCATTCATTGTTTCTCCAAGTATTTATTGCTCTGGACCAGGCAATGAGCTGTCAGCAACTGAACTCCCACATCTTGCTCTGAGTATTGGCTATTCTTTACCTGATCTATGTACTTATGTTTCGCACAACTCCCACCTTCATGCACTGACAAGATCTAGCCACATTTCCACCTGGGCATGGCAGAGATGGGGAGCTTTTCATTGGTCTGAATCCAGAAAGCTAATTTTCACACCAGCCATCAGGCCTTGTTAGACTGAAGCTTTCAACACCCAAATAATCAAACCCAGTCCCATTCATCACAATTAGCTCCCATTGGCTGGAACCCTTTTTATTGCATAGTGTTCTACTGAATTTAATTTTATTTATTAAGTCAAATCCTAAATTACTAATGATCTGATATGTTCATCAGTTATCTAAGAAATACACAAAGGTAAATGATGAGGCTTTTTTTTTTTTTTTTGTAAATTAGCAATCTCCTACAATTTTGTTTAAATCCACTTTCCTTTCCCCCCCCCAAAAAAAAAATCTGCCTATGAAGTATTAGGGAATTCTCTCTAGCAAGAAACATCCTGCAGCCAAAACATGCTTTTACGAACATCTACTTGTGGAATCATGCTAAATGATCCTTATTTCCGTTATATTCCATTTGCTCTAAAGAACTCTGAGGCTTCAAGGTTTGAAGGGGGCTAAGTATGAAATACAAGTTCCCCTGTGAGTTCAGACTGGGTTGAAGTCAGGCAATTTCACTGGCTAAGAAAATCTTTATGTTTCAAATATTACTCTCTTCCCCAAGGGAAAAAATTTTTAATTTTTGGCAACATAGTGACGATGTCAGACATTCATGAACTCAGCTCTATGAAGGGTGCAACGTAAGCCAGGCTTAAGTTTCTTCTTGAGCTGGGTAAAAACAACCCTTTCAACTCAAGAGAAACTAAAAACAAAGAAAAAAATTTAGTATATTGTTGCAACCTAACAGATAAAATTTCAATTGTAATAACCAGTGGCACAAACTACCACCACTTCCTTCAATAATCTACTCCCAGCACCTTTCTATAATAATTCTATCCCACCATCTACATAATGGCCCAGGAATGTCCAATTTTTCTTTTCAATCTCCTCCCTGAACAGCCTGAAACAGATCTTTGAATCTGCTTTTTCAAAATGAACACTCCCATACCTGTAATGAAAAGCAATGCTGTCTTATGGAATGTTTAGTGACCAATCTAGAAAACAAATGTGGCAGCAATCAAGATTAAGCTTCTGTTATATCTTCCTACTTCAGGTAGCACGAACACAGTCTAGAAAGGAATATAAGATAGTACATTTATGCTGTCTTTAAAGAACATGTGTACAAAATGTCACTAAATATGAAATGGGCTGTCATAGACTTAATATAGCTTCATATGCAAATTGGAAGCTGGAGCACTGTTTTTTCCTAATATGTATTACAATGATGGTAATAAAAATAATAAAATGGCTTTCTGGTTTGCTCACTACTAATTACATGGCACTTAACATTTGCATGGAACTTTTTTAAAAAATTGATAACTATTTGAAATTTCTTATCCACTAGATCTAATGGCCACAAAACTAGCCTGCCACTTTCGCTGAATTTTAACACAAATTCTTGTACTACAGAAAATGTAGGCCGGTTAATCACTCCTGCCAAAAAGCTTGAAGACACAATACGTCTTGCTGAACTAGTCATTGAAGTTCTTCAGCAAAATGAGGAGCACCACGCAGAGGTGAGCAGGCTGGGTGGCAATTGTCTCTGAGTGTCCCTTAGCTGAGGTTGCAGAACTGATTTTACCAGTCAGGTTGTGAATAAGATGCCTTAACACCCATTTTCTTTTAACTGGGATTGCAAAGAGAATGAAAGTGGAAATTTTGCAAGGAGAGGAGTCTTTGGAAGGTTATTTAAAATAACCAGAAAGTGGTCGCATATTGTACTTTTCAGCCTAGGTTTTCAGATGTTTCTAGCAACGAGCAAAAGAGGTAAGTGCGTCTTAGAGTTAATTATTCAAGCAGCGTCTGGTTACTAGGGTTGAGAACACAAAAAATATTTTTTTGGTCTTTTGTGGTTATTTTTGTTGCCACCACTGTTGTTTTTATTGGTTCTTTGGTATGTGGATCACAGGCCATCTTTTGAATTTTATCTCTGTAATTTACTCTGCTTCTACTAGAATCTCCATTTCTTTAACCTCGGATTGCCTGGGTTGCTAAACACAGTGACAGAGCAAATTATTCTATGTTGTTCAATCTGTCAGTTCCCCAACATGCATCTAAATAAATACAGCTTACATTTTTTTTTACAAACCACTATAAAAATTATCATTTTGATAATAATTGTAAACCGAAGGATTTCAAGGCCAACTAAATCCCAAACCTATAAGGATTTAAACAACACAAACCTTCCAAGAAAAGATTCCAAGATTTCATTATGGCTAAACTGTTATATAAACTGCACATTTCAAAATTAAGATTTAAAATCATATCTCTTAAAATAACCTTTTTGAAAATTAAGGTAATCCTCCCTCTTCTTCTACATTCAGATCTACAGCAAAAGAGGGGGGAAATAAAGGCATTCCATAAAAGTAGTTTCTCAAACAACTAAAATGACCATTCCCATGACTGAATGAAAATTGACAGTATAGTTAAATAATATATAATACACCATAAATCCAGCCATCCCGACTAATGCCTGATTGCATATTTAAATTTCCTCCCTGTTTCTCTACTGTTCCATTCAATCTTGGCTGATCGTGGCAGGGAAAAGAGGTATGTGACTAAACTGAATGAACCCGCCACCTGCTGTCATACTCTGCATGCCCTTCCAGTACCATGTCTTCTAGTGGGACTTTTCCCAGTGCTCCTGCTTTCTAACACTGACCCAAGGAATGTAACAGCAACTTCCAGTGGACTGCTTGTGAAATGGGTGGCCCTCCACAGCAGGGTAAACGTGGGGCGATTCTCTTGTGCGTGCATGTAGCGATTGATATACTTAACGACGACTGCAGTTACATCCCGACACACGCCTCCTACCTGCCTTGATTCTGTCCTTAGCCTGTCGTAGTTTCCTACGTCCGTTTGTACTTACCTTTATTACAGCAGATGAGTTCCCAACTTAGTACCCAGTAGCTCGAGCCTAATCTGTTCTCTCTCTCGCATACACACACACACACAGACACACATGAATTATGCCTTCACGTATTGTTGCTTCACCTTCCCAATCTCTCTCTATGTATATGTATGTATATGTATATATGTATTGTGGTACACAGAGGGGTACATATATACATGTTAGTTTGTGTGCACAGTATACGGTGTGTTCAGTGTGGTAGACTGTACCCCTAAAGCACACATCTTTGTCTTTGAATAATGAAAAGCAGTGGGTAAGTATTTAGAAGCCAAAGTATAACTCCTTATTGTCTTTGGAAAAGGTCTATAAAGATTTTAGATGCCCACAGACCTTGTGAGTTAGCTCATGTACAAAAATAGCATTCACCTGTATGAGCAAGCATATGTACTTTTTAAGCCTTGCCTTGCCCAACCCAGTTACACAGACTCTGTTCACTTGATTGGAATCGTACTTGGGCTTTTTGTTTGTTACTGCCCTTGCTAGAATTTTTCCCTCCTTCTCAGAGAGTCAGGTTTGATTATAAGGTTCTGAAAAGAGTTACCTTGGATGTATGGAAATAGCTCTGGTCCTCACTTCTACAACCCCCAAAGTCAAATTCTCTTGGTTCTCTAGAATCCTAAATTCCTCCGCCAGACTTCAATAGTGATAATTCATATCACAACAGTCATGGTTCTTTGTAGGGCTACCTATCTCTATGATTATTAATGCAAGGAATGTAGATATTTGCTCAATAATAAATTATAACAGGGAACTAAGTTCTCTATAGATGGCAGACGTGGTGCTTCTTATTGGCCTCCGGTTTGCAACTTTTAAATAAAAAAGCTGGTAAGAACCAGGTATGAGGTTGGGTTAAGAAATTTCTAATTTCAAGCATTCAGGGTTGGTTTTTTGTTTCATCTTTTTTCCTGTCATCCTAGAGCAAAATTGTTTCTGGGAAGGAAATTCAGTCTTCCTAGTAACTGTTTTCTTGGACTCACCCTGAAGATGTAGTTAATCAAATAACTAAAGAATAAGTACTAGCCAATATTTGGTGTGCCTTTGTGAATTTTACAAATATCCTGGATCAGGACTGAAGAGAGTCAGCCCACCATATAGGGTCAGGGGGTGGGGATGGGACTCCAGCAAGTTCCAGTATGTAGAGGGTCTCTACCTAAAAGGTGGGTGGCTATGTGGGATGGAGGATTTCTCCCTCTGCTGGATTTAGCCAGGTCGAAAGCAGAGTAGGCCCCACACCTCAGGGCTCTCATCCCCAGGTGGTAAAACTACAATAAAACCTCATCAGTTCAGACCCAAATACTTAGAATCTGTAACAATTCCATCACAGATGTAGCTCTTTTAATTTTCCTTAAGTAAAATCTTTGACGTGGTCTTAACTTTCTCTGGAAATTCTAAAGGCTCTTCTTACAAGTTGGAGGAATCCAGTACTTGTTTTCCATCCGAGGACCTATGAAATTAAATCTTCTGTGTCATTGACTTCAATTTATGTCAACTTATCTACAATTATTAGATGTTAAAAAAAAACTTTTACGTGTATGATACATTCTCATGACAACCGATATAGACTTCATGAATACCTTTCACTTTGGTCCCCAATTACAGACTGCATTTGAAAGCAGTAAAATGATCTCTCTCTTTAGAAAGCCCAATAATTTAGGCTTTTTTGCTGACAGACAAGCATCTCCCCTCTCCCATTACTCTGAATCAGTGAGGTTTTACTGTAAATTAAAATGGAAACAGCAGGTGTCTATTTCCAGCCAAGCCGACCTTGCAGAATGGTCCATGACTTGATTTTTTCCATTTAATTTGCAAACCAGCCACATGTTGATAAAGGAGAAGTAAGTAAAGTGAAATCTCATGAAACAGGAGAGGCAGACCCCTATTCTGCCTCCTAGTGGCTGTTAGAATATCCCCCAAACAACTAATAGATCACAGAAGAGCTTGGCCATTAAACAAACCCTTTCATTTATGGAATTATTTCCATAACCATTTTTCATGTTTCCAAACGCCTTCCCATCTTTTTTTGGTGAATGCTCCGGAAAGTGTTTCCAATGTAAATACTTTACGGCACTGAGTGGGGAGGTGGGTTGAGAAAGGGCTGGCGATTTGTTTTTGTTTTTCTGCTCTCTTTGAAATCAGTGAAAAGGGCCTGTTGACACCGCCACTCATTCTGCATGCTCCCTGCCAGAAATGATTAGTCAACATGCATGCGTGCCTTTGAATTGCATTCACATCTGGCCCAGTCCGATGTGAATGTCGCCCCTGAGACCCTGCACAATGATTTACAAGGGCCCATGTGCATGAAAATGAGTTACTTCACTGATATTTTTTGGTTTTCAATGTACATATGTATCCAACCCCCAGAGAAGAAAGTCGTGATCTTACTTAGTGTTTCCTAGCCTCAGCCTGATCTTTCCTCTAGAGTGGATGCAAAACCAAAGCCTCCCTGCTTAAAGAGATTTTGACTCAAAAGTTTTGTGACAATTGCAACAGTGGTTTTCTTTGACTTAGCATGAAATAGGAGTAATATTTCCAATGTGGAGGGAAACATGAGTTCCTGAGTTTATATGAGACCATAGACAATTAAGCCCCAGATATGAAGATATGTGAACAATAACTGCAAATTTTCAAGTTAGACCAGCAGAAAACCCATAAACACAGTGAAGAAACTCCCAAATTCTAGTACCTTAGAGCAAGAGCTAGCGAACAGCGGTGATAACGAGCATGACTCAAAACATACCGAGTTATTGTAAATTGAACAGAAGTTCCACGTCTGTCATTTCTACAGCTGCATCATCTGACCCACAGGTCAGGATAAAAGCTCTCTGCGGCAGGCCTGGAATCACGAAAAACACTGCCTCGGACTCTCAGAGGCTCAATTGTATCCAAAATGCTGTTCTCTTTACAATACAATTACCAAACCCTGCTGGATGCACAATTAATCTTGAACAGTGAGGGCTGGAGTTCATGTCTTCTGTCCGAGAGAGAAACTCATCACCTCTGTGTCTATTGTTTTTCTGCCAAATTTCAAAGGCCTTTGCGTGGTGGTCAGACTTAATGGTGGAGCATGCGGAGACGTTTCTGTCCCTGTTTGCGGTGGATATGGATGCAGCGCTAGAGGTGCAACCCCCAGATACCTGGGACAGTTTCCCATTGTTTCAGCTGCTGAATGATTTTCTCCGCACCGACTGTATGTATCGTCTTTGACTGTTTGGCTTTCCTAAGTGTGTGCACATAAACAGATTACTAAGATGTCTTTATCCCAAGCTGACTACAGGCTGGACACAATTCTTCATAGTTTTATTATTACTTAAAAAAACAAAACAAAACAAACAACCTTGCAGCCTATGGGCATTCCCTTTCTTCCAAAAAAGTGTTCTATTACAGGGAAGCCCTCCTTTAACTAGAGAGAAGAACCTGAGAGCAATGTGAGAAGAGATGTCTATTCCTTGTGTTTTATTTGGTCTCAAAAAAAAAATTAACCTCTTCCATTTTGCAACTTTTGTCAAAAGATGCTTTCTAGATGAAAAATAAATTCTAGCTGAATAGCATCAAGCATTTCAGAGTATCTTACAGGAACAACAGCCATAAGATAGACCTTCCTCCCCAGGGAAGGTGGTGAAGGAGGGGAGAATATGAAGGATGTTTTCTTCCTGGTAACTTAATAGGAGAAAGAAAAGAGGGTGCAAGAAAAACATGGAAAATAGTGTGGATTGTTGTTTTTGTTGTTTTTTTAAGGAACGTGATTGTTTTTACTTTTAGAAAAGTGACACGAAGAGGTAAACTGTTTTTGAATTCCATTCCCCTTTCAAACAGATTTAAGCATGAGCTTTGATGCTGTTTCTGTGCTTTTTTTCTTCTCTTCTTGTGTTGGCTTCCTCAAAAGCAGTGTATTTAATGTAAAAGACGATTATCTCTTTGTGTGCATTGTATGTTGGCAAAGCAACTGTACGTTCTTACCGAGCTTTTGCTTATCTGTTCTAGATAACTTGTGCAATGGAAAATTTCACAAACACCTGCAAGACCTGTTTGCCCCGCTTGTTGTTAGATATGTGGATTTGATGGAGTCCTCAATTGCACAGTCCATTCACAGGGGCTTTGAGCGGGAGTCATGGGAACCAGTCAAGTAAGGAAACCTCTTTTGATACCATCGGAATTTGGGTACAAATGGCTGGAGAGTCATTCAGAAATGGATTAATGGTGTCATATGGTTTTCATTGTTCGTATGGACAGAGAGAAACACCATTCATATTTCCTACTATGGTGTTCATAGCTTCCTTGCCCAAATAGTCGAGGGGAAGAGGTTGAGGAATGTTTTATGAAATGAAATCTTTGGTTTTTTGCACACAGTAAATAAGGAATACGGGATATAAACTTGGTTGTGATATTTGTACTGTGTATCTTACTCCAATGGTGTTATCCCTAGGAACAGGTGTTTCCCAAAGTGTGTTCCATAGGGTCCCAGGCAAGGAGTCAGCAAACTTTTTTTAATAAAAGGCCAGATGGTTAATATTTAGGCTTTTTGAGCCACGTAATACCTGTCATGACTACTGAACTCTGCTGTTGTAGCATAGTCACAGGCAGTACATAAATGAACACGTGTGGCTGTGTTCCAGTAAAACTTTATTTATACAACAGGACCATAGTTTGCCATTCCATGGTCTAGGCCTTTGAGACACACCTCACGAAAACAATTGTATGGCCAAGTACGTTTAGGAAACACTATATACCCAACTCACCCACCCACACCCTTGTCTCCAGAGAGCCACAAAGCACACTGGCATATTTTAAAACTCTGAGAATAAAGTCATATGGAATTTCATTTAACTCTGCTCAACCCAGAGCTCCCTAAACATATTTGACCACAGAATGCATTTTTTTTAAATGGGCTATCTATCCTTCAGGACATATTATGGGAGATCCTTTGGGTTGCAAGTTTGTCAATTTCCACAACTGTTTGGTGAATCTTTGATCCTATTTGAAAATGTTTGGCGGATGCACTGACACCTCCATTCCCCAGCAGGGAAGAGGGCTGTGACTGCCAGAGGGTCGATTTCAGACTCCCCTGTCTGGAAAAACAGAGACTCCTATATGAAGAGTGTTTTGTGGCATGGTTTGACAAGCTCTAGTAAAACCTGGTACTGGCTTTGCCCTGTTAGATTCTTTTTTTTTTTTCCCCCTCCCTTTAAGAAAATCATTTTGTTCTCTCTAGTCCTTTACACCTTTGGGATGTAGCCACTATTATGGAGGAAAATGGGGTATGTATGTACATATGTAAAAGCACACTTTCAGGAACTTCTGAAAAATATTCAGGAGGCTTTTTCTCAATCTGAAAGTCTTGACTTGTGCAGTTTTCTGAATTGAGATCCTCCATCTAATGCTACCGTGTGTAAGACTCTAACTTATAAATCAATGCAAAATTGCTTTCTCTGTCCCCTTCCACATCTGAGCCACAGGAGAAGTTTCTTTATTTACCCTACTGAGAACAGGTTAATAGGCAGTAGCTCTTCATTTGCAAGTACCAAGAAATGTAAATTTTAGCTTGTTATTCTCAGGTTTATAATGATCTCTTAATATGGTCCTGCTGACTTTTAACTCATGAGGATAAAACTGGGTCCCTTGATTAAGGCATTAATGAGAAACTTTATTTTCTTTTTAATTCTCATTATAATCAAGACAGTTGTGCTTTAGAGAACAGCTGTGACAGGAAAAATGTTGAAATGAGTAATATTTACATTTTGCAAATAGCAGTGGTCTTGAAATAGCATTTACGTACTTGGGTTTAAGTCTAAGCTACTACTACCAACGCACGGGAAGGAATGATCAGTATCCTTCACTATTCCTTCAAGAGCCCTAGATTTAGGGCTTTTTCCACCATTCCCTAGCCAGGAGGCAAGGGTTTGAACTTCTCTGATCTTGTCTGCTCATCTGCAAAACTTGTTTTCTTAAAAAAGCCCCTACCCAGCATCTGAGAATTGTAGTGAAGCTCCTTGATAAAGTCACTAAGTCATTTTAGAATCTGTTGAATTCTTCAGAAACTAAACATCTGACCACGATACCTTTTTTGAAGCATTAAATATTCTTAATACCATTAGAAGTAAAGATGGACGCAAAACCATTTTCACAACTGGAAGTCTTAGTGTGGGAATGTTTTGCTGGGGATTTTTTTTTTTTTTTTTTTTTTTAATGATCTTGTCTGCTCATCTGCAAAACTTGTTTTCTTAAAAAAGCCCCTACCCAGCATCTGAGAATTGTAGTGAAGCTCCTTGATAATGTCACTAAGTCATTTTAGAATCTGTTGAATTCTTCAGAAACTAAACATCTGACCACGATACCTTTTTTGAAGCATTAAATATTCTTAATACCATCAGAAGTAAAGATGGACTCAAAACCATTTTCACAACTGGAAGTCTTAGTGTGGGAATGTTTTGCTGGGGATTTTTTTTTTTTTTACTGATTAAAAAAATAAAATTGAACTCTTGGTTCAGTAATTTAAAGATGTAGAAATGTATAAAGGAATAATAGTTGTGAATAACAACCTGAGAATTACATAGATGTGTGTGTGTGTGTGTGTGTGCACGCGCGTGTGTTTTAAGTAGCTTTTTTGCTGTCCCAAACTGTGCGGTGGGTTAGTGAATATGGTAGATGTGTGTGTGCGTGCGCGCGTGTGTTTTAAGTAGCTTTTTTGCTGTCCCAAACTGTGCGGTGGGTTAGTGAATATGACCGCAGTGTGTTCAGTTCACACTCAATGGTATGTGCCTTTCAGAGTATGGAGATATTTAAAAGTGCCAACTAAAACATAAGCTAAATGAAAATTCTTTTAAACCATATACATTTTATTAGCTGGTTTGTAAACAGAATGTGAATGCCATGGGACAGCTTTGCAGAATGGCAGAAAATGGAAGGAAAAAGAGTTCTGGGACATGCGTCTGTGCTAGGAGGAGTGAGTCTCTCCATGTTTCTACCAGGAGAAGAGAAACAAAGTGAACTTTCATCTGACCTCTTGTTAGAGGGTTGATAAAGAAGCAGAGATTCATTTTTCCCTCTTGAATTTTTTTCCCCAAGGAAAAAAATGATCTTTTTTGAATGCTTTTTATCTGGCTCACCCCCAAACAAGAAACTGACATAGGTAAATAGATTTAGCTTGCCCAGTCTTTTCAGTTTTTGCCACATTATCCTCCAACACACATGTGTGCGTGCACACACAACACACACACAAAAGCCTTTCAAACAATTATTCTCAAATAGTTCTGTTCTTTCACTTTTCAGAAGTCATGATGATAGGCACCTGATTACAGGTAAAATGATAAGTGCATTGTAAAGCTTGCTTCAAAATAGCTAGTATTCAAAATGTTAAAGAAAAACAGCAGTCTAACAAGAATATACTACCAATGTATTGAGTTTGCTAAAAACAGAACAAAAATTTTTCTTTATTCTTCAGATTTTCTTATTTCAAAATATGGCCCTCTAAACGAAAATAGAGATGTAATTATTTGGGTTTGATATAATCGAGTATATTGGCTGGAAAGGGTAAAATGGCTAAGTCCTATGCTGCCTGTCCCTAGAAAGATGGCCTTCCATCTCTTCTGTCTCTGCACGGACAGAAAAGAAAGGCTGCATCTCTGTTTCCCTTAAGCCAGATACGTTTGTGGTTAAAATCACTATGCACCAGTGGAAAATGTCATCTCATAGCTTCTAACCACAGCTGAAGACAGTCAGCCTCTCAAGGACAGGCCCAAGTTGTCAATAAAATCTACAGTCCATAGCCCTTTCATTGGTATTCATCAGGACATGTCACAGGGTCACCGGGCAAGTGGCAGGTTGCTCACAACCATCCTGGCTGCTTTGAATATAATTGTGGCCCTAACAAGCAGGTGGACAACATTTCCACCAGCACATTAGTGTTGGCTCATTGTTAATGAGTCATACTGGACTTCAAGGTGGAAGAAAACCTAGCAAGCATATAATCTAAAGTCTTATCAAATCAAGTACCTCCTCACCCTTGCTACCCTTTTCCTGACAGATGGTTACTCAACCTCTACTTAAATAGCCCTAGGCACAGTGAATTCTCGACTTCAGGTTCCCATTTCAGGTTAGGATGGCTCTGAATAGTAGAACTAAATACTGCTTCTTGACATGTGTACCCCGTAAAATCTGGGTTTCTCATTTATCAAATGCACTTTCTCTTTTTCTGCCTGAGATATGCATATGAAAAGTATTTTTAATATAATGTCCCTTTCCAGATTGTCAAAGATGTCACTATCTTTTTTAAAATAAATTTTATTGTGTATATTTAAGGTATAAAACATGATCTCATAAGATACACATATGGTAAAATAGTTATTATAGTGAAACATATTAACATATTCATCATCTTAATGATAATAAGCTATCAGAACAAATGTATGTGTCTCGATATCAAGGTGAACTTGGAGTCAGATCTCCTGAGTCTGCCATATCTTGCTGGTCGACCTTGCACGACCAAGATTTCTGAACTGAGATCTTCCCTCGGTTGACCTTCCTGAGACTCAGCATTCTCCTCTGTAAAACAAGAACTGTGAATAATGAAAGCTTTTCCAACACAAACATTCATGACATGTGACTCCATATCCACATACATATACATACATGATTATAAACACACGTTAATTATCCCTGCCTCTCTAATACCTACAACAGGGCTCAGGACATAACAGGTGCTCAATAAACATTTGTTCATTGATTGACATATTTATTAAGGAACCCATCCAAGCTCAACACTGTAAGGATACAATAGGAAAACCATGGGGGTAGAAAAGAGAAAAAGATACATTTCTGCTCTAGTTGGGTCTGAGCAACACACAGATAAGAAAAATGACTTTAAATATTTACCAATGTACAAACAATGCAAGGGAGAGTTGTGAAGGTAGAGTAGAGGGGAATGACCTTCCACTGAGGGGTCATGAAGGAAATAGCTTGAAGAGTAAGATTTCAAAAGGGATAGGCATGCTGAGAGAGAAAATGAGCACAAGTAGAAATACAGGGGAAAGCAAGGCATGCAATAAAAGCAGTGAATGTTCAGCTTTGGCTAACGTGGATTATAAAAGAAGCATATCATAAGTTGGAGAGATGTTCAAGAGATTCTAA